TTTCTTTCTAATTTTACAGTTATTTAAAGTGCTACGATTAAACTCGTCTTTGCTGTTACTGTCATCATAACCCTAACGTGGGAGTGGGGGTCTGGAGGTTCTCCCCCAGAAAATTTTGAATGAAGTAGGTGCTATTTCCTGCATTCTGCTATGTTTGCAGGTTGTTAAACATATTATATAAATAAATAAACTCTTTCATAACTATTTTAGAGACACATTCTTCATTCAACTCAATATATGAATCATATTTTTTGTGTCAAATTGGACGTTTGATTCTTTGACCAGCTGGTAGTAGAGTTTTAATATGATTAAAAAAAAAACACTGGTGACTGCGTCGCAGCAGCCAGCCTTCTCTTTAGAGACAGTAGTTTGTCAAGAGAACAAAAAATAATGTTTATTCTGTTGCTCCTTTTTTAATATATATAGATTAGGCTATTATTTTTTATTTTACTTTCACAGCTCTAATCCTCTTTTTTATTATGGCTTGGGACCGACAAAAAAAGACACTGAGTTATTTTGTAGGGATCTATTTTAGCCACAGAAATGTTTTAATTAACATCCCATCATGGATCAGTCAGCAGCAGCTTCTTACTAACGTGACTTGTTTCAAGTCTGGATGGGATGGATATCTGTGGCAGGGAGGGACGCAGCGTGAAGAAGCCTCCTGTCGGTGCTCTGGGACCGGGGAGGRGCCCTCAGCAGCACCCGCTGAGTAGAGTCCCCATGAGTCTCAATAACACCAGAAAAAGAGWCGCTAGATTTTCACTAGTTGCTTTTCTGAAAAACAGTCTCTGGAGGTCTGAAAACTCATTTAGCGACAAAGTTACTAAATTGGCACCGCTGTGTTTCGCAACCTGCCCCCTCTCAGGTCAGTGAGCCGTGTGTCAGGTCAGTTAGTACTTCATGCATTGAAATGGTCAAATTATAGTATAATTTTTTTAAATTATTTATCGTGCATCACACAGAGGGCAAAATTATCGTTTAAATATGACAATTATTGCACGTCTGGCAACACCGCATAGTTTTTAAAACAATGTAGAGTTGTCCCACCTCGTTCAAATCTACGCAAGAGTGTGTGTGTGGATGGGTTTTTCCCTACAACGTGGGGAAAGTTTTCCCAAGAAAGCAGCCTCATGAGGACTGAAGTACATTGTGGTTTAGGTTAGTTTCAGGGTCAGGTAAGTACCTGTGAGGTTAATTTTAGGGTAAATGGTCAGGGTTAGGCTATAAAGTCTAAAAAA